GTGGCAGGTAAGGCAGTCTCATGTACTCTTTTGCTCTTGTCATGAGCTTTGCAAACCACGGATCGCGTGGTCAGAAGGGCGCTATTACGATGGCGTTTGTGTTGTCCCTGCATATCTTGACTATTACCTCAGTAACAGTGGGAATGGCAGGAACATGCAGAGCAGGTGGTCGCTCCACGACACCATCAATGCGTCACCCTGCGAGTCTAGTCCTTGACCGCCTCTTGAGAGATAAGTTGGACACTTCGCATTGAGGTGAGCGGTGAAGGCATCTATCATGAGAACACCCCACTTCGAGCAAAGCACTAGGAACACATCCTGGTCCAGAATCCACTCGTGCATTGTGGCAGCAGTTCTGCTGAGATGATCCGCGAGATCGTTCTCGTGAGTGGAGATGTAAACTGCAGATGGAAAGATATGATGCTCCAGGCACCACTCCCAAAGCTGGACAGCAAGATACAGAAGAGATCGTGAATGGGTGCCGCCCTGCTTGTTGATATATGTGGCGGCCGTCGTGTTGTCCGTGACAACCTGGAGAGCCGTGCCTCAAATGATTGGTAGGAAAGCACGACAAGCCTTGAATATGGCAAGTAACTCTAGGTTGTTGATATGAAGGGTCTGCTCCTTGAGAGACCACCGGTCGTGGATTTATCGACCATTGCAGTGCGCACCCCAGCCCGTGTTGCTGGCATCGGTTGTGATTCTGATTTTCAACACTATGGGAGCAAACAGGCAACCCAAAAAGATGTTGGCCGGGTTGGTCCACCACCTCAGCTGGTGGGCAAGTTCCCCCGTCACTCGTAGTCGCTTCCTGGGTGAGTCTGTCAATGGGTCGAAAACAGTGGTGGGATTCAAATAAATTAACAACAGGTTCTATGTCCTAATGATAGATAGATAGATAGATAGATAGATAGATAGATAGATAGATAGATAGATAGATAGATAGATAGATAGATAGATAGATAGATAGATAGATAGATAGATAGATAGATAGATAGAT